CAGCTGGACTAATCCAGAGACAAGGATTCTTCTGAAACTGGAGAAGGACCAGGGAGTCAGGGGGAGCAAATATTGACTTTAACTACATACAGAACGTTTCTTCTGGGTTTCTTTTTATGTGCTCATGCCCAAGAACCCCTAACTAGCTCATTAGAGAGAGGTTGGGTTGCATAGGTCATCGGAGGAGCTGGGTGGTCACAAGCCTGAAGGAGGCCGGGCTCGCAGGGGTCCCCTGTTTGGCCAAGACTGTCAGGAGCTGCACCACATAGACCTTGGCTGAGAAGAAGACGTATCTTCAGGAGAGACTTCCCTTCACCCAGATAAGCCCTTCCCTAAAGATGGGATTGTCACCAGTCTAGGACCCTATTTGTTATTCATCTTCAAAATGTACTTCTTCTTAATAAGTGCCTTCGACGCTGAAATTTCAGTTGTTATAATTTGTTTCTTCATATCAGAATGATTTACGTCTATTTCACCAATTTAAAAATCTATTGTTTTTTAATCTGATTTTCTCTCAGTTACTTAGCTAAAGAAAAACTAGTTTCTTTAAGGAAAAATCCCAGTGTTAGTATGTATATTTTAAGTATCCCATCTATGAGACAAAACCGAAAAAGAAAAGAGATAACTGAAGAAAAACACTGAAAATATCAACAGCTTCAGGATCCGTGGCAGAGAGATTTCTCCTGTGAGATGGAAGAAATCAGCTGGACATGGCATCTATTCTGAGAGCCCATGATGCTTTTCCAGCACACTTGGAGCTGTGTTGTCAGGGTGACTATGAATGTTGTTAAGAGCGGGTAAGCATCTTCTAGAATTTGCGTCACAGAGAGATGGCTTTCACTTGCCAAAATGTATGGAATTGCCTTGGAAGGGCCAATGCAAGTGACCAGCCTAAGTGTCACTAACTGCACAGTAAATCACCCTGTCAACCATAAGGGGGGTTTGGCCTAGCCTCTCAAGGGTCATTTCACCTCTACTTCAAGATACCTACCTCACAGTACATGCACTTGGTCACATCCTGATTGTGTATATGAGTGGAGCATGGGGGAAAGAGTATCAGATTTGGGGCTGTGTCCCATCTGATTGGATGATACTTTATAAATCTGAAATAAAATTGTATTAATAATACTATTAATGCTTCTATAAAATAGTATTGATAATACTAGCCCTATCTACCCCACAGTGGTGAGGATCAAATTGTATAAGATTTCGTATAGTACTGTGTAAACTACAAAGCACTTCCTGGAAGCAGTGTATATTGTTCACGCAGTCATGCATCCACTGAATGTTTATTGAGCACCTACTATATGCTAGGCATTATTCCCACACTGAAGGTAAAGCATTAAACAAATATTATCTTTCTAATATATAAACTTGATTTTCTTTCTGGTATTTAAGCTGAATGGTTCTTTGGTGTGGTCAGTCTGCAAGATGGCCCTCAGGGATCCTGGTCTCTGTTATGGAATTGAATCAGACCCACATTGAATCAGACCCACATGACCAATGGAGTATAGTAGAAGTGACAGTCTGTGACTTCCAAGGTTAGATCATAAAATACATTACTGCTTCATCCTTGGTCTTCTAGATGAGTTTCCCTGGAGGAAGCCAGCCACCATGTCCTGAGGCATTTATGAAGCCATGGAGAGGCTTATGAGAATAAACGTGGTGTTCTTTCAGAATCCAGCACCAAATTGCCAGGCATGCCTTACTTTAGAAGTGAATGCTTCAGCACTAGACAAGCCTTGACATGGCTGCTATCCAGCTGATGTCTTAACGACAACCTGACGAGAAGCCCAAGCCACACTAGACCAGCTAGACCACTTCTTAATACCTGACCCATAGAAACTATGGCAGGTAAGTATTTATTCTTATTTTATTATATTTTGAGGTAACAGTTATGCAGCAATATCTAGTTAATACATTCATCAAATAATTCTCCCAAAGGGTTAAATGATCTCATATCACTACAAATGATATCTATTGCCTCTCAATCATCACTTGTTTTAGGAACCTTGCTCCCATAGCACCAACTGTGTAGACTATGTCCTATAAAGAATGATTTGTTGGCTGCTGAATTACTGATTTTAGAACCTCTGAGCATGCCTTTGGCTTAAAGGGAAGGAGATAGGTCCCAGAAGAGAGATGGTTGGCCAAGATACAGATAGACCCACCAAGGTATGGCAAGTATTTGAGGATGGTCTCGGTGACAGGTAATCCTGAAAGTCTAGAGAGGTGGGCTGGCCTAAGGGGACTTTGGGGGCAACAGGTGGACATCTTGTGGCTTGTAAGAACACAACATTCAAGCGGATCCAGGCTGGAGGGTCTGGATTGGAGGGAGAAAAGTATCAGATAACTATAATTGGAAGGAAAGGCAAAGGACAGGTACAGAGACTCCAGGCCAAAACGTCAGACCAAGACTTTGAGGTTGGGTGTGGGAGGGTAGATAGATGTGCCCAGTGTCAGAGACTTAGGGAATCAAGGTAGAAATAGGAAGCAAGTCAGAAGCCCATACCTGGAGCTCAGGCCCAGGGAGAGCTGGGGGCTGCAGCAAGGTTACCGAAGGACTGGCTGCCAAGCTGACTCAGTAGGTATCCACAGAAGTGCAGCTCCAGGTCCCCTGCCATCCTCCCTATCTAAGATCTTGCTCAGTCCTGGAGCCCAGAACATGGTACAGGATGCAGAGGAGACGGTTAAAGAGGCTCCTGTCAGGTGAGGTGGAGAGAGAAGAGTAGGCAGACATCAGATTCATCTGCAGTTTGGGGGAGGGCTCCAGCAGCGTGGACTTCCAGATTCTTTCCTCAGAGTAGAGACAGCCAAAGACACATAAAGCAAACCACAAGTTGAAATCCTTGCTTTTTTCAACCTCTGATCCTCCATGAAAACTGTTCTTTTGTTAGTTTACTGGTTGGTGACCAAGTAGACTCTTGTGCTTTATCTGTGCTTCCTTCTCCCTGGTCACTTTGGGATGGAGGGTCAGGTAGATAGATGGATCCAAACATTCAGTGCTCAGAGTGTAGGCAGCAAACTGGCTAAGAAAAGCACATAGGCATCAAGGGGAGTTCCATAGATTCTCAAGGAACTAAGGTGAATGTCCAGCCTCTGGCCTCTGAGATCAACACTACCCTCTGGGGAATGAACCAGCCACAGAATGTCATGGGTATGCTAGCACACCGTCTCCCTTCACAGATCTGGTCCTGACTATTGAGCCCAGCTTCTTCCTCTAACTGCCCCCTCACCTTTCTGTTCCTTCTTCTCTTCCACCTCAGCCACCTTTGGGATTTGACACTTGTTATGGTGCCTTTGGTTTTGGTTTTGACTGCCTCCCACTAAGATTCTTCATTCTCAACCTGACAAAACATCCTTGAGCTGCTGCCCTGAGGAATAACCCTTCCTCCCTTGCCTGGCATTGGACCTTCTTTTTTTTTTTTTTTGCAAAGAAATGTACAAAATTTTATTTCACAACAGTACCACTGAAGAGGAAAAAAATAGTTCAGGTAGCTTTTCATCACAGTATTTTTACTATATACTTTCAATATATAGGTGTGGGGAGAGGATTCAAACAAGTTTTTTTTTTTTTTTTTTTTTTTTTTTTTACAGATAGTTTATTGTCAAATTAGTTTCCGCATAACACCCAGTGCTCATCCCCACAAGTGTCCTCCTCCATGGCATTGGACCTTCTTAACCAGACCATCTTGCCTTCCTGCTGGTAGAGCTCAAAGATGTCTGGCTCCTAAGTCTGAATTCATCTTGATTTGGGAAAGGGGGCTGTAGCACTGTCCTTCCATATCAAAATCAGGAGAAGCTGTCTCTCTGTAACCATACCTTCACAGTTTTCCTTTTGTAGTCGCTGGGCTTCTGGGGGCAATAGACAAGGTCCCCAAAACAGGTGACAGTGAAAATCGAGTGATGACACCAGATCGTGAGAGAGTCTGACGGGGAACCAAAGCAGGAAACTTCACTGACAAAAGAAAGACCTAGCACAGGAGCTCAGGGGATAAACGAACAAATAGAAATTTAATACAGAGCAAGTAAAGTAAGGCTCTCACTTCCCCAAAAATCCTTGTTTTCTCCTTAAGCTGGATACTCTAACTGCAAACATGTAACACAAATGTGAAATGACAAACTCCAATGCAAATTCCTAACACTGTAGAGACTACCTGTGGTTTTGAATCATCTCCTTGTCTTTAAAATATGTCAAAGATGCACATTTTCCAGGCATTTATCCCAAAAGTAAACTCTTTTTTTTAGAGCCAACCATGAATATTTATTTCATTTTTTAAATATTTATTTATTTTTTAATAGTTTATTGTCAAGTTGGTTTCCATATAACACCCAGTGCTCATCCCCACAGTGCCCTCTTTTTAAAAAAAGTGTATCACCCCAAAATTAGGCAGACTGATGCTGTGCTCTTCCATACCAATCTCTGCCCTCTCCCACCCTCTACACACAATGTTCAGGTCCCAGGAAGGTTTTTCTATAACAACTTCTCCACACAATGTTCATCATTGCTCGCTTAACTGGCATGAATTTTTGTTCCTTGCTTGAGCTATAAGAATTGGTACTATTGAAATGTTTCTGCGTTAAATCAAATCGGGCTCCAATACCTGATTAAACTAAGCTCAGTGTGAAGGCTCATTTTGGTCATTTTGGGGGGCTTCCTTGTCCCTTCCCCGAGGGTTTCATGACCCATGAGAAAATAGGAGCAAGTCCTCTGGTTGTGGTCAGTTAGGATCCCTGGTCTAGGCTTGTGGGGACTGCACCACAAACATATCCATGACCACCGTGCCAGGCTCAGCCGTGGGACAGAAGCCAGACTCCAAAGGAATGGTCCTTAAGCATCCACCAGCCAACCCTGGGTTCCTGCCACCCTCAGGAATGAGGGTCTCCCATCCTCTTCCCCAACCAAGCCTCAAGCCTGATCCCTTCTCTTCTAGGACAATCAAGCCTTTCTCCTACCTGGGCCTAGATGTTCCAGAAAAAAAAAAAAAAAAAAGCCCTGATGCTCTTCCTCTCCTTCCTACAATCACACACACACAAAGTTGTCCATTAGCAGCCCTCCACTCCATCACCCAGGGCAAGTTGTGCAGGACTCAGAAACAGGAAGGCTGGTGCCCTGCACATGAGGCTCAGGAGAGGAATAACTCTGTTCTGCTGATGAACCTGCAGTAGCAAAAAGGACAAGACCCTCATTTTCCAATAATTTGATTGTTAATTTATCTTCACCTGAACACATCTCGTTCTTGATTCTAAAATAATATACTTTTGGGACACCTGGGTGGCTCAGTCGGCTAAGCATTCAGCTCTTGGTTTGGGTTCAGGTCATAATCTCATGGTTCGTGGGTTCCAGCCCCACATTAAGTTCGACTCTAACAGCCTGCTTGGGATTCTCTTTCTCTCACCCTCTCTCTCTGCCCCTTCCCTGCTTATTTGCTCTCTCTCTCTCTTTCTCTCTCTCTCTCTCAATAACTAAGTAAATAAAAGTTTTTAAAAAAGAAGAAGAAAAGGCTTTGAAAAAATAAAATAACCTACCTTTTTGGAGAAATCCAATGTAATAGAACTCACATATGCCCAGGCACATAACAGGGGCCCCAGGCAGCTTTGCCTATGACTATTGAAAGATTGCGTGAGGGGCGCCTGGGTGACTCAGTCGGTTAAACGTCCAATGTCGGCTCAGGTCAGGATCTCATGGTTTGTGAATCTGAGCCCCACATCGGGCTCTGCTGACAGCTCAGAGCCTGGAGACTGTTTCAGATTCTGTGTCTCCCTCTCTGCCCCTCCCCTGCTTGTGCTCTGTCTCTCCTTCAGAAATAATAAACATTTTAAAAAATTTTTAATAAAAGAAAGATTGTGTGAAATCCACCTTGCATTTTCTTGAGAGAGAGGGAGGGAGAGAGAGAGAGAGACCGTGTGTGTAAAAAGGGCAGAGGAAAAGAGAATCTTAGGTAGACTCCATGCTCAGCATCTGAGCAGAAATTAAGAGTCAGACGCTTAAACAACTGAGCCACCCAGGGCACCTCCACCTTGCTTTTTTTTAGCGGACCTGGCTTGTTATAATCTCAGGAACTAAGGTTAAGGCTCCAAAAAGACTCACTCAGGGACTAGCTCATGCCATGGGTAAATACACCTTACTAAGAATTTGTCTGTCTGTGAAATGATTTGTTGTGTGTTAGGTACTGTTGAAGATTAAAAGAAAAAGATGGCATGGCCCCTACTCCCAAGACTTTGATTCTCTAACTGGGAAGCTTTGCACCCATAAAAAGGTTTAAGCTTCAAAATAGTGTCAAATAACAATGAAAGTAATGTCACAAGACAAATTGGCCCATCTCATTGATTTCTTGCAGCAACCCTGAGTGATACTATGACCTCCTGTTTTGTAGATGAGGAAACTGAGGCTCAAAAAGGGATCCTGTCCTCCCCTAAACCATGCTTCTGGTGGGATAAACTAACACGAGCCAGAGGAGCTGTTACACACACCCCCACCACCCCCACTCCTCACTAGCTTGCTCCCCACCTTCCCTGACCTGCAAACTTCCCAGCACATATACACACAACCTGACTCTACCTTATGGTGCAACTGACTCTGCAATAGTCTATAAAAGTTTTATTGTTCCTTCTTTTAGAAAGCTGCTGGATCTCCCCAGCACTTGTAAACAATATGGCGCTGCCACCCCTGCCCCACCCTGTCCCTGACCCAGTGAGGATGAGGAAAATGGTCAGGGGAATCAGAGATCAGGGACCTCCACCTGTAGGTTGTTGACCCACTGTCCCATGTGTTCTCACCCATCAAAGAGAATATTCCCACTAACCTCCTCCCCAGGCTCTAGCTCATGTCCATTCCTCCCAGAGCCCCCTCCCCTCAAATTATGCTTGTCCAATACTGCCCACTGACAAGAACTTAATCGAGATATTACCTCCTCCTTCAATCTTTCCGTCTATATGCTGGCATGCCAGTCTCTGAAACACCCGAGTTTCACAGGATTGTCTGAAGGCATGCTTCACCATTTGCTTCTTATTATAGCCATTTGTGGATCTGCCAGAGGGGATTGGGTTCAGTGCTCTGAATCTGTGTCCAACCTGTGCAAAACTGGGAACCTGAGCCAAAAGAAGTTTATCCGTAAGATGGGTTTTCTTGATGATGAAATGAGATAATAAGGAGAAAAGCATTTTGTGAATGATAATAGGCTTTACTTGCACTATGCTTCACCACTCTCTGCCCCAATTTGCAAATTCATAAAAATGAGTAGTTGTAATGGTGTCTCCCTTTTGGATTAAATGGGCTCACGTATGTAAAGCAAACTGAGCATGCCTCCATCTCTGATACACACCTGGTATCAGCAGGGCTGGGACCATAAACCCAGCGTTACGCCCTTCCCTCTGACCACGAGGTTGTGCAGGATTCAGGATGCCTTTGCAAAGGCTCCTCCACATGGGTCACTTTTGGAATCTGAGCAGGAATTCCATTGCTCTGTAATAATAATCATCATCATAAACAGTTGGTGGTCCCTGAGTCTAGGAAATTAGTTTTTAGGGGCCAGGTCTGGCTGCGATGGAACGCAACCCCACCCTCAGAGGAGAGACTGCAGAGCATGTGTGCCTATAAAACCACAGCTGATCCTCAGAGCCAGATGAAAGGGCCGCTGTCCTGCATGTCTGGCCTCTGTGTCGGAGCCAGGAATGCCCCCTCAAGTGGCAGCTTATAGAGTATTGGCCTTAGTCCTCCACGAGTACTGGTATCTCTGAAGTGCTTCAGTACAAATTTGGCACAGAGTGAGTAAATCAGTTTAGACTTTGGGTTGAAGATCTGTTTATGAGATGGAAAAGAAATCATAGACTATTGGAAGGGACCAGTTTGGACCATAGTCCTTGCTGGGAACCTCTAAGCCAAGCCCCTCTGCCTTCCTGAACAGCACCCCCTCTGGTCAGGGGTGGGTCCACAGCCTTCACCCTGTGTCCCTAACCCTCTAGCCACAGTTGATATGACCAAGAGTGGGCCAAGCCAGACCAACCAGATACTCTTCTTGGAATTCTGGAGTTGGAAAGCAGACACACTGGTAGGCTTCTTTGGGGACCTTTGCCAAGGTCACTTCCATGGAGAGAAAACAGAAGAGAAGCCAGACAAGAGAAAAGAGTATTAGGAACTTGGACCTGTTTCCAGAGAGAAACAACTCGAGGAGGCGGCCCTATGTGAGGAGGGTTGCAAAAATCACTCACCAGAGACACTGAACTTCTTTCGCCTCATTGCTCTAGTTAATTAACAGTGTCTTGCATGGAGTTGCTGCTGAATAAAAGCTTGTTGACACTTGAATTAATAATAAAAAACAGGTGAAAACCTAATCCCAGTGTAGATCTGGGGGAGAAACAAAGAGGCACTGAGCTGCTCAAAATCAGGAGCCAGATTTATATGGAGTTCAAAACAGGAAATGTCTCATCAGAATGGTGGTTACCCTTAGATAGCATGTAGAAGGGGCACAAGGGGCTTCAGGAATGTTCTGATCCCTCTTCTGGGGAATGGGTAAACAGGTCTGTTGAGTTTGGGAGAATTGAGTGGGTGTATGTTTATGACATATGTACATCTCTGTATGCCTGATACATGTCAATAAAGATATTTTAAATAAAATAAGGGTCAGGTATTAATTCTTCCCCAGAGCCCACCTGATGCAGTCTGGCAGAAGTTCAAGGATCCACCTCCGTAGCATTTCCATACAAGTGATATCTGGTTAAAATAACTAACCAAAGCAGCCTGGAAGAGCCCAGGAATCTGAGGGCCAAGGCACGGAAGAGCAGCCTTGTTCTGAGAAGAGTTTGGGGTGGAGAAGGGCTCATTGCTAAGAGGTCAACCCCAAATGGTGTGATAACAATGTGTTTGGGCTAATGGTTTATACACAGACCAACAAACACATATATGGGTGTGAGCATATGTTCACATGCCTTGGACCTTTTGATAAATTCAAAAATAATATAAAAGTCGATCTTATTGAAACTTTCTACATGACAGGTGCTTGTGGTTTACATTCCTTAAATAGTTCAATTATCACAACAATCCGATGAAGTATTCCTACTTGTCTTCATTTTTCAGATGAGGAAACTGAGGCACGGAGAAGTTTTAGTGACTTGACTAACGTCACAAAGTGAAAAAATAACAAAATCAGGTTGGTCTAATTCCAAAAACTATATATTTTTTTAAAGTTTTATTTATTTTGAGAGAGAGAGAGAGAGAGTGCATGAGCACATGGGGGAGGGGCAGAGAGAGAAAGAATCCCAAACAGGCTCCATGCTGTCAACACAGAGCCTGACATGGGGCTTGATCTCCCGAACCATGAGATCATGACTTTAGCTAAGATAAAGAGTTGTACACTCAACCAACCGGGCCACCCAGGCACCCCAAAACCTAAAATTTTAAAAGAATACTTCCCAGCCCCCACCCAAAAGCTATAAACAGAGGTTTGTACACTTGACTTCTCCATGTAAAATGTAAATACTCAGTTTCATTCCTCAGTGGTTTACACTGAAGGCACATCTGGTAGCAAGACAAATGAGCTTGTTTGTTTCAAGGGGCAAATAGGAAATCATTAATTTGCTGGTCATTTTTCCTTATGTGAAAGTTGAAAGGGAAGCAACAGACACAGCAGTTCTGTAATCACACTTACTTCTCCCAACAATTTTATGAGGTGGGTATCCCTAGTGTGCAGAGAAATAGGCCGGGAGAGATTAAGGACCTTCATCCCTGTTCAGACTCTTGCCTAGGTGATCCCAAAGCCCAAGAAGGCATTTTTACTCCCAAACATGGAAGTCTGCATCCTTGTTGTGTTGGCCTTTTAACTGGACCCTCTAGGCTGTTGGATTGGACAAGAGGACTCATGTGTGGCCTGGCCTTGCGCTAGATCAGGTGTGCTCAGTGACTGGGCCGTTACTTCTCAGGGCTTCTATTTGTCCCTTAGCAATACCAGGACACCCAGGCTCAACGGCTCAGCAAGCACCAAAAAGAAATGACCACGCCAAGGAGTGACCCCACAATGGGCCCCCTGGAAAGGAGGAACCCAGAGAGCACCACCAGCAGCCACGCCCTGGAGGAATTTGGCTGATGACTGAAAAGTCATGAGCCACGCCAGCTTCCCCAGAGAAGAGAAGGACGTGAGCAACAGCTTCTCCACTAATAGCACACCTGAGCTAAGTACATCATTCCCAGCTATGAGCTCACCATCCTTGCTCAGACTTCAAGGCTGACAGAGAGTGAGTGGAGGTGAAAACAAGCTATGGTGAGCTTTGCTTTCTCTCTTTCCTTAGCTGAGAAGATTCTGGCTGTGGGCTTTCTTGTTGCTGGTAATGATACGTAACTGCAAGATACTGTGACTGCTACTTTTTAAATTCACACATGGAACATTCGTTCACTCAATATACATATGTTGTGGGCCTCTTTCCATCAAACATTAGGAGGTGTGATGCAGTCTGGCAGTCAGGAGAGGGGATTCTGGTGCCTGTCTGAAATGGGTTCAAATCCTAACCTTGTTCGGGCCTGGTCTAATGAGAGTCTGCTGCTGTTATTACTCATGTTATGACTCAGTGGAAGTCCTAAGCTGGGTGCTGATGGGGAGATGGATAGTACTCAAGGAGCATTCCTGCTAGGAGAGCCATTAAGACGAGTACACAAATAGCCCACGATTGTGAAATAAGAAACATGCAGAATATGACGTGTAACCTAATAGGAAACTGAGAATTGTAAGCACTGTCTCTTTCAAAATTGTTCTTTGGGGAGGCCTCAGATTTACATATAAAATATTGTTGCTGATAGTTAAAGGAGCTTTTTAACATTATTAATTTATCATTATAATACAAGTAAAACATATTCATTTTTTACTCTTTTTTAAAGTCATGTCTATCCTCAACGTGGGGCTCTAATTCACGATCCCAAGATCAAAGTCACATGCACTACTGACTGATCCAGCCAGGTGCCCCCATATTCAATTTTTAAACTTTGGAAAGTACAGAAAGAATTTCAGAAATGTCTCATAACTTTATCATTGAAGCAACCATAGTCAATATTGTGCATATGTTCTTTTATTTGAATTTTTTCCAGAACTATTTTTCAATTCCACGTTTGGAGCCTCTATTTCCTAGACTCTCTAGCACATTCTCTTGGCTTTGCCTACTGAGACAGATCTTTATCCTTTGAAGGTAGGTTGCATTTTAGAAACATTCATAAGTCGTCAGGAACCAGGTGCAGCAAATTAGATGTGATCAAGCCAAGGGCACGTTGCTTTGGGTTCAAAGACAAGATACAGATAATGAAACTAATTTTATGGGGTGGCTTGTCAAATAGCACTAACGGCAGTTCCAATGAGTTGCTTGAAATTTTGGTTTGCCACAAGCAGCAAATTAGACATAAAAGATCCTGGGATGCCTTGGTGGCTCAGTCGGTTAAGCATCCGACTTTAGCTCAGGTCATGATCTTGTGGTTCATGTGTTTGAGCCCTGCATTGGGCTCTGTGCTGACAGCTCAGAGTCTCGAACCTGATTCCGATACTGTGACTCCCTCTCTTTCTCTGCCCCTCCGCTGCTCACACTCTGTGAGCTTTAAAATAACATTAAAATTTTTTGTTTAAATAAAGAAATAAAAAGATCTCAAGGCCAGAATGCTAGGTCGTTCATCTTCAATATTGGATGCCCAGTGTTATGCCTTAAAATAATACTATAGGCACTTAAAAACAGTTGGGTCCCATGAAGGAGATCGACCACTTTATGTTTTAATTGACTGTTAATTGCTACACGTCTTTGGCTAGCATCCCTTTCTCTCGGAGACTCAGATTATAAACACTCAAGAATTTTCCAAAATATACTCAAGAATATATTTTGAAAGAAGAGCAAAGGGGAAAATAAGAGATTGTTAATACTTTAATTATATAACTCATAAAAATATTCCAGTTATAAAATTAAACCTTAAATATATGGGTATACTCCCTTTTGACCACCATATTCAATCCTATCCCCCCCAACTCCTTAGAGGAAATGAATTCAATTATCAGATTGATATGTACTAGCCAATTATTGTATGTTTGTGTATGTATGTGTATATATATAATACATGACATATATAAAGCATACATATCATTTTTTATTAAATTGTATCACTCTATGATTCAGTGCTTACATTTTTTCAGTCAAGTAAATTAAAACTGACTTCTTTAAAGGGGACAAGACCCATTTACATATTTAAGTGCTGATTCACTTCCTTTGGAAATAAGCTCTTGTCTTCATAGGACTCTCATATGCCTTCCATGGCATTCAGGAGAATTTAGAGGAGCTCAAGAAGTCAGCAGACGCACATAAGAACTTCTCCACGGGCTAGCCCTAGAATTTATCAGCACAGCACTGCACATGTGACAGTGGC